TAAGCCCATTACACGAATTCATTAATTATTTGAATCTGAATAAAATGAAAAATATAGAAACTTGGTCAGAGAAATGTAAAGAATGTTTTAAGAAAGCAAAAGACATGTTAATTAAAGCATCTCCACTTAATCATGCCAAGGAAGGGGCACAATTGATCCTGACCACAGACGCTAGCTCAACAGCCATTGGTAGCACTTTAGAATAAGTTGTCCAAAAAGTAAGACAACCTTTAGCATATTTTCTTAAATAATGAACCAAAAGTCAACAAAACTACAGTGTTTTTGAAAAAGGATTTTTTGCTATCTACGAGTCGATTAAACATTTTCGTTACATGCTGGAATGCGTCGATTTCCGAGTGGTTACACACACTGATCTGTATTATTTTACTGGATAGGATATGGGCTATATTTACCATACTAAAGATTCGTTCCACCAAGGAGACCGGAAGTGCAACACTGCTGGCCGATTTGGGCAAATTATGGTGGGATCACAGAACTGAAATTTGGGATTATTTGACATACCTAACCTATAATTTGATTTGTTTTTGTTCTTATTCTTCTTCTATTTCTTTTACGGGCGATGTCCTTCGGGACAATTTATCCATAATTTGATTTTTTATGAAAGAAAATATAAAAATGGAAACGGAAAGCATATTGTATTTTCACAAATGAACGTTTATTGTTTATATCATAGTAATGCTATCAGATAAATAGCAAATTTAAAGGCTTTACATAATTTTTGCAATTATGCAAATATTGTTTTATATATTTTTTAAATGAAATAGAGGAAATGATGGGAAAAGGTGAAAAAATAAACATTTATATTTCTTGTAATATTTTTATTAAGGTAAAAAAGATATAAAGTACCTAATATTTTTAAATGCATTACCAACAGTCTTCGTTTGTGTTTTATCAATGCAGGACAGCTCAAAATGTTCTGAACATAATCGCTTTACTGCACTTACAATATTAAAATTGGTCATATCCATACTCTTCGGCCATTTCCACAAAAGCTCCAATTCTGTAAAAAACCTTAAATAACAAGAAAATTATTTAATTTAGTAATAATCGTTATAAATCACTTCAGTTTTTATCATTTAATCGAAAAATGTTATTTGTATTCTTGTTTGCATGTGTAAATTAACAATTATTTCAGTTTTTATTTCGACAAAATAAATCTATTAACAAATTATTATAAACATAATAGTTTTATTTACCTATGAACAGTACGGATACTCTTTTCACTTTGTTTTACACAATAAAAACAGATCTCATCCGTAACTTGTTTACATAATTAAATCGCATTCTGTGGAACGAAGATAGAAGCTTCTCAACACGTTCCGAATTGAAAGATGAGAATCCCACTCACATACTTTGATTACTATACGAGGCAAGAGAGAGGTCCGGCACGCCCAACATAGGGCGCGGCCATTTTGAACCCTGTGACACAGTTTACAGCTAAAGAATCGGATCGCTCACTCTGCGTCGGCACTTTTGATCTCAATGTTCCAGTTTATACACTTCGCAACTCGGATAATACAATATATGACAACCGCCTACAATAAAACAGCAGTCTTCTGCGTATCCTGAATTTGTATCCCTGGAGTGGATGTTATTTTGAAATAATATTTTTCAACTGGTCCGAGTGAGCTAACTGATTCTTTAGCAATAAACTGTGACTTCAAAAATAATATTCACTGACACTGACAGCAGCAAGCAACATATCAGGTGCGTTTTAATCATCCGCTTCTGCTTCAGGAATTGTCGGTTTAGTCGTTTTAACCTGTCAGATTAAAACAAGAAAACCGACAATTCCGAAGCAGAAGCGGATGATTAAAACGCACCTATTAAACATATTGCGCCAAGATGTAGGCAACACGTAATAAGGGTTCAAAATGGCGGCGTTTTCTATCTTCTTTTAAAAGGCACTCAGAAAGCTACGCAGTGCGACCATTCTCCGTATAGTAAAAGAAAATCAAAGTATGTGATCCCACTGCTGGTCCGCCATATTATTTGCCCAAATCGGCCAATTTTTCGAAACGTTTTTTAGGGGGTTATATCCTATCCAGTAAAATAATACAGATCAGTGGTTACACATCACAAACCTATAGAAAAGGCAATTTTTTCAAAGTCCAAAAGATCACCACGTCAGTTTAGATATTTCAAATATATTTTACAATTCACTAACAAAATTAAATACGTAGGCAGCAAAAACGTCAAAATCGCTGATTGTGTGAGTCTTTGAAACTCAGACGTAGAACTAACTAATCTCTTGCAAAAACAAAATATTTCAAATCAAGAAAACAATAAAGTATTCCTTAAGCTAATTAACGTTAAAACACACAATTTTAAAATTTGGTACGAAATTTCTACTAATAAATAGAGAATATATATTATTATATATTCCTAGAAGTTTACGTTACAGTGCTTTCTTAAAATACATAGCTCATCTAGGTCTCAAAGCCACATCTAAATCAATGAAAAAAATATACTTTTGGCCCCACATGAATAAAAACATATGTCTTTGGAAGAAATCATGTATTCAGTGCCAAAAAGCAAACGTTTTCAAACACACCAAACCTACTTTATCAGATTTTACCGTTCCTGAAGATAGATTTCAGAATATTCACATAGACCTAGTAGGTCCATTAAGGCCTTCTGTTGATTGCACTTACCTACTCACAGTAATAGATAGAGTCACTAGGTGGATAGAGGTATACCCACTTAAAAATGTCGAATCAGAAAATATTAGAACTTTAAAAAATCAGTTTCGGAATACCCTATAAAATTACACATGATCAAGATGTTCAGTTCGAATCAGGCATATTCAAAGAATTTAGTAAAAGACTAGGTTTTTAGAGTTTACACACCACACCTCACCATCCGCAAGGAAGCGGCATGATTGAAAGATTTCATTTAACTCTTAAATCAGCCCTTGTGGCAAAACTCGCTTCAAATACTTGAAAAGATGAATTGTCTTTGATTCTCCTAGGTTTTCGATCTTCAATAAAAGAGGACTTACAATACTCACCCTAAGAACTTGTTTATGGACAAACGCTACGTCTTCCTGGTGAATTCCTAAACAATTCTCAAGAAAATGTAGATATTTATCCTATTTTAATTAAACTTTGTGAAATTTTTAATAACATTAAACCATCTCAGGTACAAAGACATGGTTCAACAAATACATTTGTTCTTCCAGAGTTAAAAAATACAGAATTTGTTTTCCTAAAAGTTCCGGGTATCAAACCAAGCCTTAAAGCACCATACGACGGCCCTTTCAAAGTTATTTCTAGGACTGACAAAGTTTTCAAAATCTTGAAAGGTAATCGCGAAGTAACTGTCAACATTGACATGACCAAACCAGCTTTCATATTAAATAAACAAATTGACAGCGCGTAAGTGCCAACTAAAAAGACAAAGAAGGTCACTTTTTCTATAAATAATTTAATTCATCATTGGTTATAAATGTTTAATTAATCGTCATATTTATTATTTATTTTTTTTATATTTGGAAATAAAACTCGTTTCAGTAATTCGAAGAATTTAGTGGTTTACCAAACAGTGGACTTCTAAACATACTTTAACAGGATGGGACACAACGAGTCAATTTACTGGAATGGTAAGAAAGATAGATTTCGAAGATCTGTTTAATAATATTAAAAAAATTTGTAATAAAATTATATTCGTTATTGTTCTTTCTCCTTATGTATTAAGAGGTTTAATGACCTCTTCAACAGAGCTATCTAGGCTACCCCTAGGCTAGGTTTTACTATTGTGATATTATATTTAGTTCATGGGATATTAGTACATGGAAATCATACTAAAAAAGAAATGTTGTCTTACATCAATGAGGTAGTTCTGATTTTTTTATGAGTTGGTAGTGATTAAATGGTTAATGACAAATACAAGTTTTCTATCTCGAAATACCTTTGGATCACAGCTAAATACTTGCAAATTCATTAAAGTTTAGGAATTTTGTCAATTTGGACATACGTTACGGCAAAAGTTATTATGGATACTTTTTGAGTAGACTAAATTTGCAATTAAATGAGAATAATTTGGTTTTGGTAAGAAAAATAGTTTTTAAGATTAAAAGTTTGCAAAATTTCAAAATAAAGGAAATATTAGTTTTTTAATTTTTGACAATTTTTACCACTAAGGGTTTATTGAAAAAGTTACTTTTTTTTGTTAATAAAGTCTACTAAATTCCCAAAAAAATGAGACCAATTATGTCAATTTACATCTGATAGTTTCTGAGACACAGCTGTTCAAAGTTGTTGAGGCAAGTAACCAATTATGTAATTTGATGTGCTTGCAAAATTTAAACAGATGTCACCTACTCGACAAATTTTTTCACGCAATCATCAAAACCCCGAATAGCACTGTTTCTCTACTCGTTTAGCGGTAGTGATACAACATTACCACCTTTGGTCAAAGAAAAAAGAAATTTCTATCAACAATAAAAAAACAACCACGCCTCGAACAAAACGCAGGTTTTATTAAGCTGCAATGCCACACCTGAGCAACTTGTCAATGCAGGTGAGACCTTTCTTGTTTCACTTTATGGAGGCAACAGAGAATCGCAAAATCTTAGCGATCTTCGCTTCCAGGGCGGCAGTTAAGCCCATCATAATTCTCTCCAGATTGCCTTAAACTAGGAATGCTGCAATATTTCACTCTCTGCGAATATACCACCAGGTGAAAATAAGTTTTTTGCTTGTATTCCTTTCTGCTTCAGATCACATTCTTTATACCTGGTCCCTTATTTTGTTCAGGTACAGAAGTGGCTGGGAATGAGAAGAATTCTCTCTCTCTCTCTCTCTCTCACTCTCTTGCAGCCAAATATCGTGGTAGGTAGATTGTTTTCGGCCCACTTTGTATTGGTATATTGTTGACTTCAGAATATCTGGTACAGGTAGGTAATATATGACCATTTTATTTGTTTGTAACCGATCGATGAGTTATTCTGAAATAAGTAAAATAAAAAAAAAATATTTGTGCTAGTCCATTTTTATTTCAGTAAAAAAATAAAATATTTTATAATTTTATTATTGTATGATTTAATATAATTTTCCTAGTACAACTGCGATAAAAGCGTTTTAGATACTTAACTAAATTAATTCTATACTGCTGAATTTCAGTAAAGTAAAATTCTATAGTCGCTTTTATGTAACAGCCGCAGTAATATACAGTCTAAGTAAATAAAATTTATGCCATATTAAGCCACTGCTTTATAGCTTGAATGTGAAATGATCTTGCTCCTAAGACGTAATTATTATCAGCTACATCAGAGTTTCTCAAATCTATGTGATGTGGAGCATCGGAAATATTAAATGCCCAGACTGTGGCAGACATATTACCTGTAACGCCACCACATGAATATGGATCCATCATACCATTACTGAAAACAATATTCGAATAGTATTTCAAATTTTTTCCTCCATAAGTCACTTGACTCCATTGGGGAGGTAATGCCCTAACCCCGAACTTCTTATAACAATCCATAGAGTATTTTTCGAAATCCCAAGGTTTCGTCATGAACATGTCAGCATCTGTTGAACATTTAGGCATTGTGAGTTCTGTGCATTGTTGGTAATCATAAGCAAATTCGGTGTAATCATCGTTTGTACTATTTATATTGTTACATACTCGCTTTCCAGTGTAATTGGTATATACCTCTAAGGCATGACCAAAATGTTCTATTAGACCTTTCGTATCGTTGAAGTATGAAGTGGTGAGTTTATCGCAGAATACCTTCACTGGATAAGCTGGTAAAGGTGTGTACAAATCTGTTGGATAATGGTAGTTTGTCAATGCTATATTAACGTATATTTTGCCTAACCAATTTAATAATGTTTCGGTATCTTCAGGACCCTTTAGTCTTCCACATAATTTCCATGTAGTAGATATAAAGTCCATTCCTAAAAAAATAAAAAATTCATACTCTTTTTTATATTGTTTGTTTATCTAAAAACCAAGTGCTAGATAGGATATACAGGGTATTCTCAATCTCGGTAATACAATTATATTTATTGAAAAAGTTATTATGTATAAAATTTTAGGATTAATATGATAAAAATTATTAAAATTATTAAAAAAAAAATGAAAAAGGGGTTAAATTTTACAACCGGACCCGACCACGCGGCTGTTGTAACATTATACGGGCCCAAGTAACATTTTTATATTTATCAAAGTATACAAGTTAATTATAAAACCCTTTTTTAAAACACTGATAAAACTTTTGAATCCGCGAGATAGCCTTAGGGCTGCTATAAATCTACTTTAAGAGTACAAGGGAGAATCCTATAATGGTTCTTGGAAGTAATTTTTAAACAATATCTTAAAACAAATTAGACCTAAGACAAAGTCCGTAAGAGTATATTAAGAATTTTATTAAACCATTTTTAAATCTTTTTTAAGATTATGATAATAAGTATGATAAGCATAAAAACTTTACAAAAATAATCAGTTTTAAAAGAACTAAATTTTAAACTGTTTTTAGCTTTATTCTGTTTTATCATAGTCTCTGACAGAATGATTTTTCAAATATGTTGGGAGAACTGCCATATTAGAAATTAATTATTATATGGTGTATGTTTAATTTGTTTAATTACACTTGTTATTTCTTCAATTTTTAAACACACACCAAAGTACTGTTAAAAGTGTGCAAGATGGGTCGTAATAAATGATGGGCCTTACATTATATGAAATATATGTAAAAAAAGGATTATTATACGGATTCTAATCTATTTACCGAAAGTTATTTAATAGAAAATAACATTGTAAATATCGTGTGTATATATATATATATATATAGCACTATAAAATGATTACATTTGTCTTCGATATGTTTTTCATATAAAATATCACATTTTGTATTTTTCAAATTATTTCATGGAAGTGACTTTTTAACCGCCAATATAAATCCTATTGTAGATTTGTCGTTGTATGGATACTTGTAATCGGCAGAACGCCATTTTGAATTACGCATGCTACCTACTGTACTATCAGAAACAAACTTTGTGTTTAATCATAAATTACTTTAGGCGAGGCAAGAGTTGTATATTTTATCATAGTATATTCCAATATAAATTACATTTATATACCCTAAAAGGAATTAGCTGTAAATATATTTGACAAATTTGACATTATGTTGTTAAACGCAGTAAACGCAATCATAAATAATAAATGTACTCTCATTGCCACAATGTTGTCATTGGCACACTGTTGTCATTGACACATTGGTGTCATTGACACACTATCACTGTCTTTAGTATACAAAATAAGTCATTATTTGCACTTTGACCATAATTTATTTGAATATCCTTTAGGTACAGGTCTGGTAGACAGGTACTATTTTACATGATATGTGGTTAAACAGCCACTGCCATATTTAAAATGGAAGATTTTCTCATTGTGTTCTAATCTCACTCTTGAGCTTCTTATTAACTCTACGAACAGGTCATTCAAAATATAAAAATTAGTAAAAATATATTAACCATTTTTCTCTTTTACTGATTATTTCAGAATATTAGGAGCCTAGGAATGTTTTGATATTTGTTAAACAATGGAAACACAATGAACTTATTAAACACTGAGGAGGAGAAACATATACATTTTTTTTGTCATTCTCTATGGAAATTACCTTTTTTCTTTATTTTGAAAATGACTAACATTGAAAAATTTTAGAATTATTTGAACTTTGACCATAATTTATTTGAATAACCTTTAGGTACAGGTCTGGTAGACAAGTACTATTTTACATGGTATGTGGTTAAACAGCCATTGCCATATTTAAAATGGACTATTTCCTCATTGTGTTCTATCTGTACATAAAAACGGACATTAGCTTATAAAACTAATAAAGCAAAAAAAATACTTTTTAGGACTTTCCAGTTTTAAAAACCTCCTGCTACACTTTTTAGAGCGTTTTATAAAACAATAGTAAAAACGAAAACCTCAATAAAACATTCATAAGGTCAATCAGATGGGCATAACTTAACTTTACTCTTAAGCTTCTTATTTACTCTACGAACAAGTCATTCAAATTATAAAAATTAGTAATAATATATTAACCATTTTTCTCTTTCACTGATCATTTCCAGAATATTAGGAGCATAGGAATGTTTTGATATTTGTTAAACAATGGAACACCTTAATAAACACGGAGGAGAAGGAAAAACATATACATTTTCTTTTTCCATTGTCTATGGAAATTATCACTTATCTTTATTTTAAACAATTTATCTTTAAACGTCAACATAATGTGATTGGGTTGAAAAGGTAGGTTATGCTCTAAAACAAACTTTAATTCTTATTAAAACTATGTAGTTTTAAAAGAGCTCTATCGTTTACTAGATTAAATAAATTATAAGAGTTATGCTGTAAAATTGTAGAAAATGTACCTAAAAGGTTCTGGGATCAATTTAATTTAAAGTATAATCCTAAAACTAAGTTTGAAAACCTACTTAAGATAACTGCTAAAAAGTATGCCTCTTTAACACTAAACACACCTCAGGAGTATCTTCAAACTAAATAGTTCTAAAATTACTTATTAATTAACCCTTACAGAACAGTGATAATGCATAGTTTACTTTAGGATAAACTAGTTTTCTTAAACAGATTTAAAGGAATATATAAAACCAAGTAATAAGATCAATGTATCCTGCAGTCCTATTAGCAAAAAAATAACCGTAATAAAATATTTATTAATTTTTATGCTTTTACAAAACCCTAATAAAACATAAATAAAACTTTATTCTCTTAAAAATGTTACTTGGGGGGGTATATAGTAACACAGTGATAAAGAATAAAAAATATTTTTTCAAAGAAATAATACAAAAACAACCCTACTTTTTTAAAAAGGAAAGCGTTATTCTTAAAAAAATCAACCAATTAAAAAACTATTATTTATGTAAACTATAAAATCATTCCGAATCACAATTATCATAAATATACAAGTCCTCTTGTTGGGTGCATGCTTCATGTGACCAACATTTACACTCGATGCACTGCACCCATTTTTTGCCTGGTCTACTTGCACTGTAGGCCCAACGCAGACAAGACAGTAAGACTCTTCATCTTCCTTATCACTGTCTTCTTTCTTGTCTTTGTTTTTAACTTTACGTTTTTTAGGAGGATTCTGTTTTGGTTTAGAATCAGAAATTTTTTTTATCTTTTCTTCATATTCTGCTCTTATATTTTCTTTTTCAGGTGTATCAGTGTATACAGTCAATTTTATTTTCTTTTTTCCTCTATTTCCTTCTTTTCTAGGCAGAGCTTTCAGGAAAGGACTGACTATTTCTGGTGCAAACTTTTCAGTTGGAATAGAAAAAGAAACTATCAGTTTCAAGTTGTTTGTTCGGTACAGATTTGTTGCCTAGTCCATTTTTTGGTTCTGGTAATCTGTTTGAGCTAATTTCATTTTCATTTACGGTTTCAGTTAAGGGGGTCGGTCTATCTGTAACATATGATGGTGCATAGTCGAGAGATGTAAATATATTTCTGTTGAAGGGAAATATTCCCGTACATTTGAAGCCTGCTTGAATGTTGCCTAGCGTTAGTGCCATTGGAACAGCTGTTGCGCCTATGGAGGGGATATTATAAATTGTCAGTGACAAACTCGTGACAAACGATCTAACGGTTGAAGTTTGTGAGAGCAGTGGGGTGAAAAGCATAATACCACTATACCGTTTTCAGAGCAGTAGTCAAAAGCTTGGATAGAAATATGAGACGAATGATTGTCTAATAGTAAAAGGACTTTATTGGAGGTTGTTAAAGATGTATAATTTTGAAAGTGTTCCAGAAATATAACAAACTTCTTTTACTGCAACCAACCGCTTGCGTTTCCAGAGCCAATGCTTCCAGTTGGGCGATCTCGAACAAAATGTTCTTGGTAGCGAAGCCTTGGAAATATAAACATGGAAGGCACAAAATTACCAACACCATAAACTGCACAAAGTCCCTTGTTCGACCGAAGTTAATGTTCCAACTTGCCTGGTTCCTCTTTTAGTTACAATTCTGTTAGGTGTTTGAACTGTTGTAATCCCTGTCTCATCAACATTATATATGTCCTTGGCTTCAAATTTGTTTTTATTCATAACCTTTTGCAAGTTGTCAAAAAATGTATTTACGTTGTACTCGTTAAAGCTGGTTGGTTGGGCTTATCTTAGGGATAGTTGTGGTTGCTTCTCCATAGATATGGGCTTATTAAAAATCCTACAAATCTATCATCGCCATTGTGCCTACCTTGTTAAACAACATTTTCAAATGAAGCCATGATAAGATAGACAGAGATATGACATATTTTCAAGAACTAGAAAAGAAACACGTGCCTCAGCCCAAGCAAAACTTTTTTCAATCTCTTCTCGACCAGATGACGACGGACTACGGGCTTTGTACAATACAATAAATCATACAAAGATGTGTTATTCTTTTCAGAAACAGCGATATTTTCTGCCTCTGAGCATAAAAATTTGTTTGCGATTAGAAAAAGATCATCAAATCTCTGTTTAAGTATTTAAATAAATGTATCCAGTACATAAAAATATACAGTAATTTTGCAATTTTGTCTAGAGCAATTTTCAATGTGACCAAACATGTTTTCATCGTGAAAAGTTTCACCTCTTTGGTCTTTTTCTTGTAAACTCATTGGGCAAGTCATACTTAACATTTCTTTAGCCTTTTCTTCAAAGCTGTTGGACGGTTCGTCATTTATCAATGATTTAAAGGCATTTATAGTTGATTTATTTAAGGAAACTGCTGCTTATATATTTATATCGACTTTTGTAAATAATTAGGTAGAATTTGGATAACTAAAAGTTTTTGTTTCCAAATGCAGAGAAAGATTTTATATAAGTTGAAATTCCACGGGCATCAATCTTTTGACTCTCATTGTACTTGAAATTTCACTAGATGAGTTGCTTTCCATAACCTCTATTATAGCGTGGAGGTTGTCAAATGTTAAATTAATAGCTCTTGTGTGACTTGCCCAAGTAGTCGTTGACAGTTTTTTTATACTTAATTTTTTTGTCATAATTTTCTTGAATGTTTTGAATAGGTAGATGTAAACAAAAACTACTTTTTGGCATCGGCAATTGGTAACACAATAAATTCTTGCCGACCCAACTCAAACGTCGCCACTGCCGCGTCGTATATTGTTTTTGAAGTTATCGTTAGTTATGATTTTTGACCTCATAAAATAAAAATTGTTATTTTACTTTAACTCTGGACTAAATAAATAAATAACATTTTCTTTTAAAAAAATATTTGAGGCATTTCAAACAAATACGGTGTTTGTTTTTTAAAAATATCTTTCGAAATTTCAATAAATATTACAGGGTATAATAAAAGTAAATGTTTATTGTGTATATAGGCATCAAGCGCCAATCGACCACTGATCAAACGCTCTATATCTTGCACTGAAAATTTGCTACTGCTTTCTGCTGATACAATGTCTGATTGTGCGCCAATGTACACCTTATTTAAATTCAAGAAATTTTTAGGATTCTCGAAGTTAATCGTCGTTAAAAGTACATTGTCACAAACTTTCGCATTTATAAAAAATTTTAGCATCATTTTAAAATTAGATTTGATTATTGGTAATATTTTATAAATTCTAGTATGTTCACTTTGAAACTCTTTGTTAATTTTAGCTATGATTTTTAAAATGTGACTGAGAAATGTGAAATAAACTTTATAGAGACAATTTTGTAGATCCAACAAAATTTGCTTGGCATCTCATTGTTCTAAAATTTGATCAACAACTGCATTTAAAGATAACCATCTTCTCTGCAATAATTTCAGAAGTTTATAAGGTTTTATATTACAGAAATTTTGAAATTCGGTCAAGGTAGATTGCCGTTTTGCTGAATGTGCCAAATAATTGTAGACATTTCTGGCCAATGTTTCAATTTCATCTGGCAACATTTCACAAGTACTTAATGCTATTAAATGAAAACAATGAGCCAAACAACCGATAGTAAAAGATGAGGTTGAAGATTAAGGAGCCTTGCTTTTACCCCAGTTAAATGCCCCATCATGAGTGAGGCATTATCAGAAGCAAATCCGATTAGGTTATTAAAAGGAACCTCATTTAAAGCAAAAATTTCTTGAATCTTAAGAAAAATATCCTTAGCAGTGGAAGAGGGTAACTCGGCAAGACCAAAAAGTAATCTTTGGCAGATTCCTCAGATGCACAGTATAATCGAACCAATAATATTAAATATTTTTTGTCAGACACATCAGTTGTCTCGGCAATAATTAAAGAAACAAATTTTTGCTTTTTAAATGTAACATCACAAATTTTGAATATGGCCCTAACATATCATTTATATTGCTGATAGCTTTGGTTCTAGAACATTTAATGGATTTCAAGATATCTAAAGATGAAAATAATCGGGGCGGATGGTCAAATAAAAGAAATGGAAGATTATGTTCTACTGCCATCGTACATACTGCAACCATAATTTTTTTATTCATGATATTTGTAGGATGATGTCCTAGTATTGTCTGAATATCCGTAATATTCCTTAATATCCTACCGTTTTTTTGGTGTATAGATAAATTGAAGTGTCTTCTTAGGTGAGCTTTGCCTCCTGTAATACCTTTTTTTGGCATATTTTACAGAGTTTGTTTGAATTTTTTCACACACCATTTAAATTTCTAAAATATATAAAAATATATAAAAACAATTTTTTAATATTTATTTTAATTTTATCTGTTCCCATTTATCGACGTTTTTCGTCTCATATTTTTTTTTTCTTTTTTTTTTTTGTATAATCTCGTTATTCTTATTGTCCTCATCACTTTAATCTAAATTTCATTTCTCTCTCTCTCTTTCTCTCTATCTCTCTCCTCATAGTCTTCGCCCTCATCCTTACGCCCATACTCCCCATTGCTGCTCAATGTTTTAACTACATTTTTTATTGTGGCTTATTGGCTGACGTTGAAGGCTTCTGATTATCATCAGAAGCATTTTTTAAAGTTTCTGTAACTTGACTTGATGGTAATAATTATTTTTTATTAGATTTGTCTTGCGAAATTCTAATCACAAACCTACAAATTAAATAATACATAATATTGTTTTATGTGCATAGCAAATTACTGCCGACTTAGTTGTCCATAGCACCGTATAATTCTATAATATTCTGTTTAACTAAATAAAATAAATCCACAAAACACAAGAAATCACTACACCACATCGAAAACATTGAACAGTTGAACAGAAAATGAAAATGGCAAAATTAGAGAATCAGTGAAATGAAACTAAAATAACAAACACGAAACCAGGAAACCCCTTCATTGAGATTTTACATAGCTAATGAAAAATAATACATAATACAAACCGCTTCAACTAACGAGATACAGATTGCGCGCGCCATTTATTTATGTATATATATATATATATATATATATATATATATATATATATATATATATATATATATATATATATATATATATATCTTTTTATCCAGCCCACAGCACAGGCTATAAATTAGAAAAACTTATTAGCTTTAATTTTTTTATTTGCGTAATTAAAAATATTCAGTGGTAAAATGTACTAAATTTTATTACATTTTACCATAATGTACATTCATCGCAATTTAATTTGCCTGAAGAGGGGATGCGCGTTAATCTCGAATTTCAGTTGTCAACGCCCATTGTAACTGTTAAAGAGAGATGCAAACAATAGCCGTGTTGTCGGGGGGCCAATCAGTAGATGAAAATATTGTCTTGAATTTGTGTTTGTGTAGCGTGCAGATTTTGAGTTATATTTTATTTTTATTTGTTTCTAGTGTTTTCTTTTGAGTAGTGACTTAATTGTGTAAAAATGCCGAAACATTTATGGAAATAATATTTTTCAAATATTTTGTGAAAAAAAAATGTTCCTCGGCAACAAATATTTTAAACAAAAAACAACGATGATAGTGAAACTTATAGACAATGTGTTGTGAATGACGATCCCAAAACTCTCACTGAAATTAAAGAACAAGTTGCTGAAGTTACAGAATACTCGGTAAAAACAATTGAACGAATAATTATAGAAGGTGACCAGATATCAAAAAATTAAAATTCTACGTTGACCATACCTAAATAATTGTTTAAAAGTCCAAAAAAGCGCAGAAGAACATCAAGTGTAACAGATATTCCATCCTACAATACAATATTGGAACAATCAGAGATATAGTTTATAGATTTCACGAAACATAAGGTGTGCGCATAACAGTCAAAACTCTTAATGAAAAATTAAAAAAGGAAATTGAGTGGAAAGGGAGCTACACATCATTAAGAACTATTTTTAAAAAAATTGGATTTAAGTGGCGATAAACGCGAAACAACAGACGGGTTCTAATAAAACGGCCTGACATCGGGTCGGTGGTGTAGCGGTCTAACGCGCTTGTATTCACTTATAGGCAAGTTTATGAGTCAGAGACTGCTGGGCTTTAAATCCCAGACCAGACCATGTGCATTTTTAATTAAATTGCATAGTTCGGTGTAGGATTTGATGTGTGCCGTATTAATAGAAATTCAATATCTGTTGATATGACATGCAGATTATAAAATCGCCATGTATTACCGTCTCGATGATGGTGGGTGAGGTTTTCCGGGTTTTCCTCGCCTGTAAGTCAAATGGCACCAGTAATCATCTTTAAGTCGCCCCGGAGCGCCACGGCAAATAATAATAATAGCCGTCCCTTTCCCCGCACAAGCTCAGCTTCTGGGGTTAATTCACTCGTAAGGGGGTGAATTAGGGAAAGTATTATTATTATTACATCAGGGAAAAAAGAATAAATTATATTAAAAAAATTAGATATTTTCGTCCTTAAAACCGTCCCTTTGTATATATTGATGAAACTTACATACATGTAGTAGTCATACATCATCACATAATTGGGGTGATGATAATGCAAAAGGTTTGTTTTCCACCATTTCGAAAGGAAAGGGACTTATTATAGTTTATGCTGGTGGTAACATGGACTTTATTCCTAGCAGTTTATTAATGTTTGTGTCTGGGGCCAGATATTGAATTTCAACCTTCCTCATTACGACCACAGCTGTGCACATTAATCAAACAGCATAAAAATAGATTCAAGCAATACAAATTTGATAGATAATTCTCCGAACACGGTCATACAGTTTTGAGATTACCACCATACAACTCAGACTTAAATCCAATAAAAAATTTTTGGTTTTTGCATGAACGTAGAAAAAATATTATATGCAACTCGTGCAAAAAGTATTTATTGCACTTGTTGCATAAATAACTATTACCACCCTGAAAATGAGGATAACTCCTATAGCATGGAAATAAGAAAATAAAATGTCCTAGAAAATGTAAAATAGGTACGTATGAAAAAACCTATAATATTCTAAAAAAAAAATTAATTCAGTACATATATATCGAAACGGCAACGCTGCCGGTGATGTGCATCTTCAATCTAACCGAGGCAAGCGATCTTATCGCAGTTGCATTGTTAGATATTTGAGTTGTTACTTTCGCTGCCTGTTACTTTCGACCTCGGTCTACCCTACTTCTGATATTAAAAATTTCGGTGGTATTGATTTTAAATTTTAATTTTTCTTCATAAATATTAATTTTTTTTTAAATTTTAACTCATGTCAGTTCTAATCTTTGTTACATTTTTAATTTTTTGGGTAATAGAATTATTACCATTAAAAATGTATAAATAATGACTTAAAACATATTATTACCTAATTTTGTTTTCGATAAATTGATGATGACATCCCACCCTAGTTTAATGGTCTTGACACATTGATCGCGTCCAAATTTCTCAAAAACTTGTGTAACCTTATCATAAAATAAGTCGCAGCTTGTCATTCCAGGAAAGTAGAACATTGGAGCCGAAGATGAAATAGCTCCTACAACTGAATAGGGATATTTCATTCTTAACCAGGCGGACAACATTCCTCCGTATGATCCTCCAAAAGCAACGACTGGATGAGTATCATGGGTTATAACATTTTCATAGAAGCTCCTTGTTAAATAATCTATGACGAATGCGAAATCTGCAAGTGCTTGGGTAGAACTTAAATACCTGCAAAAAATTTAAAAAATATTTTAGAAACTATCAATACTGAACGCTTTATCGATTTATGATTCTATTAAATTTTGTTTTATATAGTCTTTAAACATTTAATTTAATATAAAATTTATATATGAAATTTTCATGGGAATCATTCAATAACATTTTCAGTGATTTTAATTAGTAAATTTTTATTAGTAAAGTTTAATTAGCAAATTTTATAAAGTATTATATAATTAGTCGATAGGTACACTCAGAGATAACGTGAAAATGTAACTACTAGAAAATATCGTGAGTCCCTGAATCAAACATATTCTAAGGGACACAGAAGGGTATAATATCCGCTGTTATCTTATGCCTATTTCATTATTCTCGTTATGTTAACAAAATTAACAAAATTGATTATAAAGTAGTTAGGATGAACCGAAAATTCTGAAAATCAATAGGGTTCTAAGTTAGAAGTAATTATTCAAGAAAATCAAAACCGCAAGTCTATCAGAACTTTCATTCTAGAGTTATCGTGCCGGCATACATATAGACGACCAGACGAATTTTTTTTGCATTTTCGGACTCAGAATGATCGGAAACATGAAAAAAAATTTTAAAAAATGGAGGCAAGAAATTTTTTTCGTCTGCACGAATGCAATACTGAGGCACCATAGGAAAGGCCTCAGTAATTAGTTTTTTTAATTTTTATTTTGTTTGGCATTCCTTATACCAAAACGTATTTTTTTAATTTTATTTCCAGTGGTTCATATTACTTGTCGAAGAAATAGGAAACCATTCATTATTTCTGACAAATGGGTTACCAAAAATTACATTAGCGTTTAACATTAAATAATTTCATCATTTCAAAAGCCAATTAGAAAAATGTGAAAAAAAAAATCAATTATCATGATAAAACCAACAAAATCTTGAGAACCAAAAGGAATTTGGGTATGGGGAATGCCAAACAATAAAAAAATTACTTTATAAATTAGTGGTATAACATACTGTAACGCGGTATGAATTCTAGCGCTGGCCATATAAAGACAAACGCAGCGCTTCGAGAAGCTTCCAGAGTGATCCCTTTGCGGCGTATGAGTCATAGAGAGGCAGTTATCGATCGTTCTGGAAAGCTGAGAGTGTTCTGGTACAGAGTTGGCTTTATATAAATAGCGCGAGTTTGTCGGCGGACAAGAAGTTTAAAATTAAGTCAAGACAAATTGTAATAAATAAATTAGAATTGTAAGTTATAATAGTGCCTAAGTTTTATATAAATTAATTAGTACGATATAATAAATTGTAAATAAAATGTTTTAAATAAATAAACTATAAATAACTTAAACAAATTTTTCAATACAGAGTATTGCCCTTGGAAAATTTAAAAATATCGTAACACATACCCTGTATACATCCTAGCAAATGAAAGAAAATGCAAAATGTTTTTAGTCTATTAAAATTGTTTTACAATGTGAAAAAAGCCCTTAATAATAACAATAATAATAATAATAATAATTTATTCATCCAAAATATATATTACAATTAAAACAAAATTAAAATACAATAAAACTAATAAGTTTGGTATGAATAAACTACTCGATAAGTGATAAATCACTTAAAATAACCAAAAAAGGTTGACAACTGTGTGCACGTAGTTTAGATTCAAAAGGAGAGACTTTTATTTCGTGCAAAACTTTTTAATTATTAAATGCAAAGCGCCTTCGGCTTATTTGCCATCATCAGTGCTTATCTACAAAAATTGTGGATGTAAACTTATAATTTAAAAAAAATTATAAAATCTGGGTAAGACTTTTAAGTCAAGAGTTAAAATTGTATATATATATATACGCTTATTTGAACAAATTAACAATTTTTGTAGATAAGCACTGATGATGGCAAATAAGCCGAAAGCGCTTTGCATTTATTAATTAAAAAGTTTTGCACGAAATACAAGTCTTTCCTTTTGAAAGATAAATCACTTGTTTTAAGAAGAAAATAAAAGTTATTAAAATAGTTACTTAGTTTGTGACTAGAATAGTCACAACTTATTTTACTAGAACTATCATGCAAAATTTACTATATTCTACACTTTAAAAGTAGGAAGATTATAGGTACAATAATTATAAACATATACACACTAAAATAGAAACCAATTAAATAATAACAATGAGAGACGTGCAGTGTAGGAAAAATTTAATTAAATGATTGATTTCATTGGAAAAATTAACAAAGCCGGACACCATCTATCTATATTTTTTATCACATGAACATTATACTCATATATCTTTATACAACTTATAAGTATACATTTACAATTTTATGGTAAGTATTTTTGATTCTATTAAATCATTTATTGTTTGATGTGAAGTATTAAATAATAGACTTTTTATTTGTATTTTAAATGTAGATTTGTAATTAGGATTTTTAATGGATTCGGGCAATTGGTTGTACATTTTAGGTGCAAGGTAAGCAAAGGATCGTTGAGTAAGTGATTTACCAACCTGAGGAAAATGATGAAGATTTCTGTTCCGAGTATTATAATAACGGAATGGTAGATTAGGTTCTTTCGTGGTGAACAGTAAAAGTATAGTTGCCTAAGGTCCAGAATTTTGCCTTCCGAATACAATAGGTTACTAGGATAACGACACTTTTGCGAAAAAATTATTTTCAAAAACCGTTTTTATATTGTTCCTAATGCTTTCAAGTGACACCTAAGTGCACTTCCCCAAATAACAATGCCATATATTAAATGACCTTCTATCAAGGCGTAATATAATGTTATTAGATTTTGTACAGGTAGATGTTATTTTAAATATTTAAACTTGTATAAAATGCCCTGTAATTTTTTAATAGTGTAATTTATGTGGTATTCCCATTTCAGATGATTATCTCTATATACACCAAGGTATTTTATTCCAGCAACAGATTCCAGTGCGCAGTGGTGTCCGCGTGTCGCTATGTTTAGTTGGTTGTACGAAGGGAGATATTAACATTAAGTTGTGCCTATTCCTGTAACATGGAAAAAAAAATCTTCTTTTTTGTAGCTTGACATTTTAGCATTTTAAAAATTTACTGAAAAATTATTTTGGTAGGAAATTGAACGCTTTACAAAAAGTACTATTTTTTTTTTTTCATAAAGTGAGCCGTTCTGAAGATATGCAAATGTATGAAATTATGACTTTTATTTCATTAAACTAATACTGATGACTTTTTTTATATTATTTTCAAGAAAAAATAATTATTTTCGTATAGAAAGAAAATAACACATTTCAATAATTTTTTTTATTTTATTTTATTTTAAAAAAAACTTATTTGTGTTCAATAAATTTGTTCAATTATAGATTAAATAAAACTGTTAATTTGTTATTGTGTTGAATTTTTAATCTTTCTTTATTTTTTATAATTATTCCTGAACTATATTTTAAATGTTTACAATGCTCAAATGCCAAGCTATAATATTAGGAAAAAAAAAATTCCATGTAATTTAAATGAAAAATGGAAATTAAGGAACAGGCACCACTAAATGTTAATATTAAAAGATCAAATTTTTAGAGGCTTCTTTTTTTACTTTCCTGATAGTTTTTAGCCTGTTTTTTAGTTGAAAAAAAAAGTTGCTCAAAAATGACACACCCTAACAATTAAACAATAATTTGAAAATACAGATGAAGCCGATTTACCTATTTAGACAAAATTACTATTATTTTTTTTTTCTTGAAAGAATAAAACCAAATTTGGTAGATTTTCACACTTTTATTTTAAAAATATAAAATTAAAAAAAAAAAAACACTAACATGACATATGTTTCGAAGTACAACTTCTTTTTCAAATGTGACTATTTTAAATTCAGTATCCAATATATATACGAAATATTTAACAAAACAAAGTACTTAAGAAAAACATCAATAACATTACAAAATAACTATTTAAAGTAAATAAGGGTACTTAGGTAATTTTAATATCAATCAAATAACAATAAGATAGCACATTACCGGGATTATCTCACAGAAAACTAGGAAAGAGATTTAATAAGGGTGAATTATTAATATCTAATTGATCATTTAGTAAGTTATCTGAATTTTTAAATCTATTTATTTCAATTGTTTCTAAATGGTTTAATTTAAGGCTCTTATTTTCTATATGTAAAATTTCAAAGTTGTCTGTAAAAGAATGATTTTCAGCTAAAATATGATTTGAGTAAGTAGAATTATTTTTGTTTTTTGTATAGCTATTATAATGTTCAGAATAGCGTTTTTTGAAAGTACGGCCTGTTTGACCAATATACAATTTTGGACAACTACCACAATTTAATTTATATACCCCCGATTTATTATTAGGAATAATTTTACCCTTATTGTTTTTAATATACTTCCCAAGCGTATTATTGGTTTTAAAAGCTACGTTAATATTTTGGTTTTTTAAATATGATGATACCTTTTCACTAGGAGCTCCTATATATGTAAGACTCTTATATCTGCAATTTTTATCTTTAATTATGGGATAAACTTGTTGAATAGCCTGTTTAAAAAGTTTTTTCTCTAAAATGTTGTCTACTAACTTTGAATTAAAATTATTATTTACTGCGATTTGTTTAATGATATTTAATTCTTTTGTGAAGTTCTCTTTGGTAAGGGGAATATTAACTAATCTATGGATCATACTGTTGTATGCTGCCAGCTTTTGTTTGTATGTGATGGCTTATGAAATATCCCAAAACTATGGCCTTCATTATTTTTAATAATATTATAATAGCTATACAAAAAACAAAAATAATTCTACTTACTCAAATCATATTTTAGCTGAAAATCATTCTTTTACAGACAACTTTGAAATTTTACATATAGAAAATAAGAGCCTTAAATTAAACCATTTAGAAATACTTGAAATAAATAGATTTAAAAATTCAAATAACTTACTAAATGATCAATTAGATATTAATAATTCACCATTATTAAATCTCTTTCCTAGTTTTCTGTGAGATAATCCCGGTAATGTGCTATCTTATTGTTATTTGATTGATATTATAATTACCTAAGTTTACTTTAAATAGTTATTTTGTAATGTTATTGATGTTTTTCTTAAGTACTTTGTTTTGTTAAATATTTCGTATATATATTGGATACCGAATTTAAAATAGTCACATTTGAAAAAGAAGTTGTACTTCGAAACATATGTCATGTTAGTGTTTTTTTTTTAAATTTTATATTTTTAAAATAAAAATGTGAAAATCTACCAAATTTGGTTTTACTCTTTGAAGATCAAATGGATTTTCATCAAGTAAAGGCTGAAACAATAAATAAAATTACTATTATTCTATTATTTATTAAAACACATTATTTTTTAGTAAACATGTGCATGCAAAAGTCTGCCATGAGGATAGGACAGTAGCGAGAGTAAGAATTCTTTGGAATGTGCTGTGAAATACACTTAGAAAGGGTCATATGGAGAATTAAGTGTGATAACATTTTACGATGGGTATCTCACTATTTTAGTTCACAGATTTCTGTAAATGTTCAATTATGTGCTGCTATTTCAAACTTTTAGTATCCTTTGATAAAAGAAGTTGAATATTATTGTTGACCTCTTTAAACTGTTTATTTTACCCCATACATTTTTTTTTACTCCTTTTACAGTATTCTGTGAAGAGTATTATAGGTTTACTTTGACCGTCTGTCCGATGTTACGTTTTGTGTCTGCATGATAATTTAAAAACGAGAATTGATATCAACTTGAAAATTTTAAACAAAAATCAAGCTCTATAATTATTATTAACAAATGTGATTAAAAATAGGGGGTTAAGATGGGTTGAAATTAAAAAAAAGTCCTAAATTAAAAACGAAAAGCGATATCAACATAAAATTTTAAGTTAAAATAAAGCTTTATAAGAATATTGGTACTGAAAAAAAAAATATTAATATATTGGGGAGTTAAAGGGGGTGAAAATATAAAAAAAAAATCCTAACTGAAAAACGAAAAATGATATCAACTTAAAATTGTTGGCTCTAAAAGGAGAAGAAGCCATTTAATTATAAAAAAAAATCTGAAAAAATATGGGGGATTTAAGGGGAGTTGAAATTAAAAAAACAATCAAAAATGAAAAGCGATATCAACAAGAAATTTTAGTATAAATCAAGCCCAGAAGGAGATGAGGCCTATTGATTGTGAAAACAATCTGGTTGAAAATGGGTAGTTAAGCGGGCCTGTTAAAATGCGAAGAGTATCATTTAGAATGCCAGCCATTATATATCTTTATTCTAGTTTATATCTATGTAATAGTATCTATTGTGATGGAACTGATCTTATACAATAAACATTTATAACATTTTAGTTCTTATTTTATTTGCCAATAAAAGGTATTTAAAAAATATATTTTTTATTTGACATCTGTGATAAATTGTAAAAATGATTAAATTTACAACAAACACTCAAAAATAGTAGGTAAAGTTTTATATAATACACAAAAAGCAATGTCAAGCTTTCTATATGACCTGATAGATATTAAAAAATATTCTGAAATTATGAAGAAAAGTCAGTTTTCTAACTAATAATGTTTTCAATGTATTAAAAACAAAACAAATATTACACTAACTAAAATATTCATTTATTAATAGTTGTAGTGCTTGAAAACACTATGATGTTGATAATAATAACTACACTTTGTACAAACTCAAATATTAAAAAAAAACAGTGATAGTTGCTCTTGTACAAAATTTTAAACCGAACTTACAAATGATAAAATTATAGGAAAAAGTGAACACCCATTTTAAATTTCTACGAGCCGCCACTGCTAATAAATCATTTTATATAAATTGGTATTTAGCTGTGGTGGTGTCAAACAATTGCAGAATAATTAAGAAAAATGAAATAAAATATTTCTTCTATACTCACCGCAAATTTTCTGGAGATGAGAACGATGCATTCCCAAAGGGCAGTGATTGTCCATAATATCTGTGTTCGATGAAAACGAGAAGAGCATTGAAAACGGGTGCAATGTCAAACATAAATCCTGTGTTTTGAGCAAAAATTGAAATGTCACCATTGTTACCGGTGTAGACGAACACCGGTCCTCCTCGAACATGGTATTTGGAGTTTATTAGATATCTTAATTTAAAAAACTTTGGCGACGAAGTTGCAGCAAAATGATCTAGGGGTACTTCAATATATCTGGTTTCTAATGAATATTTCTGATCAGTACTTTCAACTTCTATTATATTTAACAACAATAATAAAATTAAAGAAATTAAATAAATTAAAATTTTTGAAAACAGTGACATGTTTAATACAACTGAAATGTACACAAGCACTTCAATACAACAACTGAAAACTACGAACCAACGCACTTCTTTTATACTATTTTGGATGAGTCAGATCACCTTTTTGATTAGTCAGGAGCCTTTATTCATTTTTCTTAAAAAAGTATTTTTTAATCTACATAAAACTATGGTTTGTCTTCTACAGACTCCTGAAGGTGGGAAGTCAAAGCTACGAAGAACTGCGATGGGACAAGACAGGGCTGATAAGTGACATTAATAACCACCCCATCCTCAGCATGGTCTCGGACTCGCTAGTTCCCCGACAGCACATAGAAAAGCCATTCCAGAGAGCAACGTATGGAGCAGAGGGGTAAAAAGTCTATAAAGATCTTTTCAGATAGCCAGGCAGCCCTTAAGACTCCAATCGAGTTGACTTAAAACTGATTTGAAACTGTATAAATACCCTTGAATGTCTCGGTGCTCGGAACAAAGTCACTTTGATCTGGATTCCAGGGCACAGTGGTGTGGAGGAAAACGTAAAAGCCGACACGCTTGCTAAAAGAGGAACCGAATATGTGTTCATAGGACCAAAATTATTCCTGAGCATTTCAAAAAGCACTGCCAAAGGAATTATCTCAAAATGGACGTAGAGTGTAACACTCACGAAATGGCGAGATACCCCAGGACTCATTCGAAGGCGTTTATAACCAATCCTTCTATGAACGCCTCTGCTTAGATCCGAGAATGGTGTAGGAAAGATCGACGCATTTTCACTGGACTAATTACAGGACACTGCCGTCTGGGCAACCACATGAGAAGGATAGATCTGCAACAAAAATCGGACTGTTGATTTTGCACCGAGAAGGACGAGTCTGCAGATCACATCATATGTACCTGCCTCACTCTGGAAAGAACCAGGTTCCAGATCTTCGGATTTACCCGATTGGAGCCTACCGACTTTAAACAAGTCTTACCCAATTCAACCATGGCCTTCATCAAAAGGTGAGGCTTGTAGGTAAACTATAAGTTAGTCATGAGCCACAATAGACCCATCTGGGTCGCAGTGGAAGGTGATAAGATCATCCCACTCATTTTTAACCTAACCATGGTTTATTAGAAGCGTATGACATTACGAATGCGTAATGGTATTCGCAATGCGTAAGTCGCAGGGCGCTGGTTGAACGGAGTTTCAATGTAAGTGGTTTCTTAACCCAACCACTAACGCATTTCGCGTAATACGTGATGCGACTTACGCACTGCGATTTTAGGCCACCGGTCCGAGAGCAGTCACTGCAACATACACATGCGGGGCTTAGATTGTCAAAGTTTAATTCCATGAGGCATGTCGGCTACTAAAAAGGCTGTCGAGACCATCAGAAAACGATGATTTGGTAGAACATGTCTCATAAAATGAAATTTTGTGGAAACTAAATCACCCGTATTACAAAAATACAGTGAAAAAAGATGTTAAGTCGAAGATGAATGAAGAAAAAAAATTAGAAAAACTGGAAAGCAAAATTACAGCAAAAAAAGATGTTAAGTAAAAGACGATTGGAGAAAAAATTGGAAAACCCTCTACGGCCTGCACATCAACTAACATCATCATCGCTAAAGCTTTCTTCTTCACGTCCATCTTGCTCAAAGTTTATACCAAAACTGTATTGTTCCGTATGCATCATTACCGTCTAGGACACCACTATTCCACTGCGATATTTAGTTACGAGTTACGCATTGCGAGTGTCGCTACGCATGCATAATAGCATACGGGTCGAACAAACCATAGATTGGCTGCTCTCGGACGAGTGGCCTAAAATCGCAATTCGTAAGTCCCACCACGTACCATGCGAAGTGCATTAGTCGATGGTTTAAAAACCCACTAACATTGAAACTCCATTTAGCTAGCTCCTTGCGACCAAGGCCGTAGCCAGGGGGGATCAAGGGGGATTGATCCCCTCCCCGAAATAAAAAAGAGATATTTATTTTAGACTTTTAATAAGTATTAATGAGACTGCAGTTATATACAGTGCGCCCGTCTTACTTTGTTGTTATACAGAACATAATAGTTAATCACTACAAACAAAATTCTCTACCTACTGTTATTTTTATTTACGTATGACTTTATGCCCGCTTGGTATTCGCACGACGATACTTAAATAGCGGTGCAGCGACATCTATTAGGGAGCGGCGAAACTACGTGCTGCGCCAACTACACAAGCTACATAAGCATAGAATGAGACGGATTATTCTCGATGTTTCGTTGCAGTGCGTCTGCGGAATATATAAGCGAGCCGTCGAGCATAGAGAGGCAGTTCTGTCTTGGAGAGTGATTTAATGCGATGTGACTAAGGCAATATAAGCGAAGTAATAGTGCAGTGTGTGAAATAATAGTGCTGTGAATTAGTATTGAAGTAAGTGGTGTTATAATTTTTGTAATTTAAATTAAAATTAAAAGGATTTGATGTCTAAGAATAGCCTACCTACTCGTATTCATTTTCTTTTAAATCTTTATCGAAGTAAATATTTGTGTACAAATGGAATTAATACTTGGCTGTTTTTTTTTTTTTTAATTGTTACAGGTCGGTTCAACATTTGAAATGGCAAAAACAAAAAGAACGCAAGAAAATACATTATTCAAATATTTATATAAAAAATTTTAACCCGATACTGGTAGTGAAGGTTCTACTGAAAATCAGTGTTTTTTTTCGACAATACTTTTGGTACTTTTGTTGCCGTTCCTGGGACTGTGGATGATGTTTCTCAGCATGTTTTAGATGTGGGCTATTTATTATACGGAAATCTCCTTGGAGGCCAGAAAAGACATTCAAGTTTTCAGTAAGTGACGATAAAAGAAAGCTAAAACTTCAAATACAATGGTTTGAACGGTTCTCGTGCTTGGTTTACACGAGTACAGGGCAACAAGGTGCTTTATGCAAATATTGTGTATTATTTGCCAGATATTGCGCAGGTAAAGGCTTTCATCAGCAATTGAAATCCTTAGTTATTCAGCCGCTTACTAAATGGAAAGATTTTGAACATCATAGTGAAAGCCAATACCACAAATCTTCTGTATTATTGGCTGACAATTTTATGAAGGTGTATAATAAATCTCAACCAAATATAATAAGTCAGATTGATAGCGGATACCTAGCGTAAATAGCTGAAAATCAGAAACGACTCATTCCGATTATTGAAACAATTAAATTATGTGGACGTCAAGAATTGGCACTGAGAGGTACGTGCGACTCAAATTCATTAAAAATTATTAATGCTGAGCCAGAAACAAATGATGGAAACTGTCGTGCTATCTTACGGATGAGAAGCAGAAATCTTATAAAGCATACAGAAAATATGACGTTGAATGCTACTTTCCTAAGCATGATTATACAAAATGAACTTATTGCAATTTGTGGTGAAATAATCCAGAAAAAAATTGTGCAACGATGACATAATGTTGAATATTATGAAACTGATTTTGAAAAATTCATTATGTCACCAGTTGCGAATAGAAAACAAATAAAAATAAACTTTTTTTTTTGGTTTTAAAATCAATAATATACATTATTATTGAAAGTTTGTATTAAAGAAGGGCAGATTGACTTATTAAAATAGAATTTGGTTAAATTTACAACCTAGTAATAATGTAGTTTAAGTCCTTATTTTCCATTCTAAATCAGCACAAAATAATTAAAACACAATACATGACAAAATAACCTAATTTCTTGAAATCTTTATAAATAACTTTAACAAATATACAATATAAACACACTACAAAATGTCATTGAGAATTAAATGATTATTATTTTCTATTTGTCAATAAAAGAACGAAGTAAATCATTATGCAACTAACAAAACAAGAACGTGGTAATATTGGTTGCCTAGATGTCAGTATTTTTTTACCAAAATACAATTTTAAAAATAATCAAATCAAAATTAGAAATAATGTTGTATGTAACACGTTACGAAATGCCGTTATATGTAACTCGTTCATATTGCGGTACCTTGTTCTGCTCGTCTCGCAAATATTCACTCGTTAAAATAAGGCATGTCGCAACCGGTTTCATAAATAGTTATTTCGTAACCAGTTTCATAATGTTTAACATTATGCAACTGGTAGCACAAAGTAGATAATTTGAACACATGCCGCGACTAGAAAAATGTCACTTTATCTGTCAAAATTAGACAAAATAATTTTTGAAACTTTCTTTACATTGACAGATGTCAAAAATAGCCAGTTAATACGAAAAAATACATTTTTTAATACATTTTGTTTTAAGTTATAGTTATGAGGGGTGATCTACAAAAAAATGTTTCTAGTAGTCATTGTTGACGAAACTACTGATGTTTCACGACAAGAACAGATGTCCATTTGTATAAGATATGCTGAGCCAAAAGATAATGGGTTTTTCTTGCGTGAAGATTTTTTAAATTTTGTAACAGTTTAGAACACAAAAGGAAGATATTTAGCTAATGCAATTTTATCTAAATTAAATTCTTTGGGAGTAGATTGCGAATATTTAGTTGGACAAGGATATGATGGAGCTTCTTCGATAAAAGGAAGTTTTAAAGGTGTGCAGGCAGTAATTCGTAAGTCACATCCAGAAGGCTTATACGTTCATTGCAACTGACATTCATTGAATTTAGTTCTGGGTCATTCTTGCCAGAATCAGCCTATTCGAAATAAAATTGGAATTATAAAATCGGTTGGAAATTTTATCAAGTCCTCGGCAAAACAAACCAAGTGTTTAAAAGATAATATGGAAAAATACTTCCCTGAAACACAATGGAAAAACCTTACGGCAATGTGCGAGACCCGCTGGGTAGAAAATCATGATGAGTTTTTAGGATTTAAAGAATTTTATAAAGCTATTGTTGATACACTAGCGACTTTAGCACTGACATGGATTCTGAAACATCGTCAAAGGCTAATTCTTTTCTGAGATCAGTCATTTCAAGTGATTTTGTTGTGAGCTTATGTTGCTTAGAAATGTTGTTCTCGTACACACTGACACTATGCAAAATACTTCAATCGCTCCTATGCGATTTGGCAGTAGTTTAAC